AACTAAGCAAAATATTAAAACACTCCTTAATATCATTATTCAGTAACTTTAAATATATATGATAAACTGTGAGCATACTAAACCACATAAGCTGTGTTAAAAATAGCATTTGAGCTCTCCAAAACCCATAACTACAATTTTCTCATAGACATTTAAAATTGGAATTTGTGACAGTGAAATATCCCACAAAGTCAAGATAGCTACATTTGAGGTTTTTGTATGATATCTGATTTAGTGGCCAAAACCATATGATTGCTTGTTTTATGCTCTTTCTTACCTATAGAAATTTTATTTAAAGCACGTTTTAAGGACTTCAAAACTTAAGAAAGATCCAGCCAATAAAACTCTCAGGGGAATTTTAATCACACTAATGATGCCCCAAGTATCAACTATGAATTTACTAAAGTCCTAGAAGTTATGGAGGTGGATAAGAGAACTAATCAAGCATGATGCTCTAAATTGCTTATAACCCTCCCCTTCCTCCTCCTCCTCCTCCTTCTCCCATCCTCCTCTTTTTTCTTACATTTATTAAAGCAGGAATAATGACTCCACCTTCATGTGTGCTTGCACATCCTGTATTTTAGATGTGATGAGTTTTGTCACATTAAAGTACAAGACATAATGCTCTGACTAAATATGAAAATAAGCTCAAAGGAGATTTAGCAGAGACAATAATGAATCTTGTTTTTCTCAAAAGTTATTGAGTGTTTAATGTTAGCCCTGACATTTCAATGCTGAGTTCATCACAAATAGGTCCTTCTTCCTATGTTTATATGAAAAGATTATACACTGTCCTTCCTCATTTCAATGACAAAAGCCCAACATCCCAAATGGCCATTATTCTTTACTCTGTATACTAGTATTAAGCATGGGTCTGTGTCTTGGACTTCCCTGTGTCTAAACCAAGCAAAGAAAGATTCAGGACCTGATTCCACAAAAGCAACCACTGAGAACAGTGAAGACCATTATTTCCTCACCCACTGCTGGCAGAGGTCAGCATCCCTGTGATTAGCCATGTCATAACATCATTGTATTACTGCTCCTTATGTGGGCAGATACTGAGCAAGAACTGAACACATCACATCACTGTAAAAATGAAAAAGTGCCACTTCTTTGTCCCAATTTAGCATAAAATCAGTGAAAACAATCTTTACAAATGACACTGCACTAAGAAACTGAAAGGAACTGTTATTACTCCGTAGGTATAGATTTAAACTGATGCTCTGACACCTTCAACTAGAACAAAAAATAGGACTATATTTTACTACTGCACTCCAGTTGTGAGCTCCTTTAACGCAATTTCAATTAAGGGATACAATGTTACTTAAAATAGTCTTAATTAGATGAAACTGACTATGGTACCATCTCCCAATGTCTGCAACGTAGCCATGCTTTAAGTTCCAAGAGGTGAACACTGTTACTTTCAGCCTGCATGTTTCTGTCCAGTCTAAGAGCTACGCTGCTCTTTCAAAGGCTGACCTATATACAGCAACATGCCATCCGTTCTCCTGTTTGTATAAGAGATGCCTCGCACCGTTGCCATAACCAACATCATCCGCATTGTTCTCACTTTTCTCCCGCAATGGGCTATGTGAAAATGGAGGCCAGTTTGCATAGTGATGTGCTCATAACGTAATGTGCTCGTACAACAGAGCAATAGTAGATTAAACTGTTTCCAAAAAAATTCCTCCTCTGGAGTTTATTGACTGAAAAATGTAAGTAGCGTTTTGGCAATCTATAGAGCAGCAGCGGGAAAGTGTCAGCAGGGTAACACAACCTCCTTTTAGTTTAGAAAAGCTTCGGGAAGACGATATTCATTTTGTAGATTAGGGTCTCTTCTAACATTGAAAAAAAGATCATTGGGAAAACTATAGGTACAACTGCATGATTCTGAAGCACATAAAGATACTGGTTCCACTGGGATTTAGCACACCAACTTGAACTACAAAAGTGTTGACAGATTTAAAATAAAGATAATTATTAATTTATGATCTTATCAACCTATTAAAAACAAATAACCTGACAAAGTGACTGTTTCTTGTAATAAACCACATATTCATTACACCTCTGAAAGACGCAAGGTTTACTTTGCTGTCTTGGCTCTTTTAGGGAAGTCTGATCCAACTTGTTTTTACTAAATGTAGATGCAGATTTCTTATTTCACCTCTTCCAAACTTCTGCCTATCTTCCATATCCCTGCAAATCCACTTGAGTCATTGCAAAAATGAATGCTAGTTGACTACATTCTAAGCAACTAAAATAGTGAAGCTGGATAGAAATTGTGTACCAGTGGTGATCATGACGGAGTAGAAAAAACTAGTGTCTGGATTTTCTGGGGCCTACCAAACCTACTCAGTATATTTAATATAATCGGGGGATCAGTGACAAATATATTTGATAGACTGCTATACAGAGAAAGGCAGGGGAAGGCGTTCTTCGAGAAGCATTTCCATGAAGTCCCTTCCTACTATTGGAAGTATATCATGACTTTGCATCTTTAAAAATCCATTATTCCCTGGATAAGTTAAATAGAAGACTTGCAACTAGTCTATAGAAAGGGTGGCTAATTTGCATTTAAAAAGAACAGTTTGCTCCTCATACACGGGGGGACTTAAAAGGAACTTCAATGAGCTAGTAAAGAAATTCTGAAGACTTTCTAAATTAATTTATTCAATTCACAGCACAACCTACGAAAATTATTTAAAGCACTTAATTGGAAAATGATTTAATATATTGAAGTAATTCTTGATTTTCCAAAGCATTTAACTTTTAAATTAAATCTGACCCTACTATCACAAGAATGACAAGTGAAATGTGTATCCAAGTCATTACCTTCTTTTTGGAGCCTAAAATCACCGATAAATCTAATAAGATTTGTCCAGTTTCACTGCCAAAATGGTTCTAACTTTTTGGTACTGGTTACTACTCTGGAAGATGTGTTTACTATCCATGATAGGTCTGCTACTTTATTATTTTTGTTAGTATTAGTGCTATGAGCAAAACAGAATGTTACACACACAAAATACTTGCTTATAAAGGCAAAACAGATTTTAAAATAAAAGAACTATGCCACTAACAAATAATGAAACTTCATCACACAAACTTCTCTTGCCAAAGTTACCCGAGCTTTCCAACCTGTTCGGAGCTAAAGAGCTCCCTGTGCGATAAAAAGCCTTCCTGCCTTGCACAAGTCTGTATTTCCTTCGTTTCAAACTTGCCTATCCATCATAGGCATACAGCACATCCCTTTTACTGAGCCTTACACTGTACACAACATCAAGGAGCTTCTGCCCGGAGTGATATCTGTGGTTCACTTAACTCACAGTTGTGTGTGTGTGTGTGTGTGTGTGTGTGTGTGTGTGTGTGTCCCGACTGACCAAGACTGAGCTGCGAGGGGGTGGCGTGGTGGGGACCCCGGGGGATGAGGATGCAGCGCGCTAAATACCTCTGTATCACGTAAAAAAAAAAAAAAAAAAAAAAAAGCTGTTTGATGATGCCTCGCCACCAGGCAAATATTAGGAGTCCCAACGATTTATCCAGTGGAATTCACCGAGGGGCCGACAAGGAATTGCTTGCAGCGGATAAAGCATCAGGCAGGTTGAGCGCGAGCTGGGCGTCTAAACCACTCGCCCAGCGTCTCAGAGAACTCATTCCTCCCCGCCGACGTTCACCAGGCGGGACCGCGTACACACGTCCAATAAGCCCGAGGCGAGAACAGCCGTGGCCCTGCGGCTGCTCTCGGAGGCCAGTCCCCGCGCGTCCTCCCTCCCGGGGCCGAGAGTTGGAGAAGCACCCTCCCTTCGCACCCCCTAACTATTCTATCTATGGGACAAGCGGAGCTCAGCAGTAGCCCCGGCCGGCTCCCCCCGCCCCAACCCCCGTCCCGGGCCACCCGCCTGATCAGCCGCGCCCGGGTCCCGCGCGGCCTTGGCACCCGGGGTCACCGGGCTGGGAGTACAGCCCGGCATGGGACCCTGCTCCAGCCCCGTGCGGAGTGCTGGAGCTTCGGACGTCAACTCGACGCGCTCGCCCGGCTTCTAACAAACTTGCAATTACCGCCGCCCCCCAAAGCGGGAGTTGTCCCCCAAACCCCACTACCCCGCTGCACCCTGGCCCGCAGACCGGCGTCCGAACACCGGGCTCGGCCGCCCGAAAGGGTTTGGGAAAACAAAAGACTTGTGGAGCAATTGTCCCGGCGGGGGGCGGAGGCGTCTCCCTGGTCCCTGCACCCCGACTCCCGGCTGCTCCCCTGGCAACTAATCCCGGTCAGGGAAGCGGTGCCACGAGTCCCCGCAGCCCGTGAGAGGGCGGGAGGGAGAAGGGGAAACTAGAAAATAAACTGACTTCTCTTACTCTCTGCCTCCGTTCCCGGACCCCAGACACACCCCCAAAGTGTTCCGTGGTTTTCTCTTAAAATTTTTTAAACGCCCCCCGGCAAACCTAGTCAGGGAGCCTTAGTCGCGGACAGCAGGAAGGAAAGAATCCGAGCAAATCGTGTCACTTTCCGCACAATCGCGGTGTTTGGCAAACCCCCGGAGCTGCTGCACAGTATTTACTACCCAAGAGCACGCAGGGCTGTAGCGGGCTGCGAGCCGAGCGCGCCTGGGACCGGCCTCCGCCGACCGGCACCGGTAGCCGAGCCGGCCCGCCGCCGCCGCCGCCCCCCTCCCGGGATCAAGCAGCAAGAACACGGTGGAAACAAAAGCAGAGCGTTCACCTTGTTGCAATAGTAGGGGTCCAGGCAGGGAGAAGGTCCCAGACAGGGAGCGTCGGGCGCAGCGGCGGGCTGGGCTGGAGGTGGATAAAATCTTACGTCCATTTCACTCTCACATCAAGCAACTCCTTTTCTTTTCCTTTTTTTAAAAAAAGTGTTCAGCAAAACAAGCTTAGACAGAACAGAGAGAGGTGTCTGGACTCAGGAGTAAAAGAAACACCTTCCTTCCCTCACATCCGTTTGTGGTTTGTTTAAGAAGAAGAGGAGAAAAAAAAAAAAAGAAAAAAAAAGAGGGGGGAAAAGCGCTCAACTCTCCCCCAAGCCGCGGCGCGCACCCGTCGGCGCCGAGCGCGCAGCCTGCTCCGCCGCCGCCGCCTCCCGGTCCCGCCGCCGCCGCCGCCGCCGCCGGGCAGGTAACTTCATGCGCTCATTGTCCCCCCGCCCGCCGCCCCATCCCCGCCTCCCGCGCCCCTCGCCGCCCGGCACACGCGCTCGCGCTCGGGCTCTAGGTCCTGGGCGTTTTATTGGAGTCTCTGAGTTGCTCTGCTTTTAGTTTATTTTCTCCACCTTGGAGGCCTGGGATGGGGGGAGGAATGAAGAGGGGGACAGGGCGGGAGTGGGGGGTGAACGCCCCAGGCCAGGCGGGGTAGGGTGCGCGGCAGGACGCGGGGCTGCTCGCGGCCCAATGGCTGCAAGCTCGGGGCTGGGGGCCGGGGGCCGGGGGCCGGGGGCCGGGGGCCGGAGGAGGGAGGAGCGGAGAAAGAGGAGGAGAGCGCGGCCGGGAGCGGGCCGGGGCGGCGGAACCCCGCGGAGCCTCCGCTGTGCCCGAGCCGGGCTCCTCCCGGCCAGCGCGTCGCACACAAAGGGGCTGCGGAGCCCCACCACCGGCGGCCCCGGGGCACGGCGGGGAGCGCGCAGCAAGGGGGCGCTGTGGCGCACCCCGCCCCGCAGCCCCGCCCCCGGGCCCGCCCCGGCCCCACCCCGCTCCCACCGCCCTCTCCGCGGCGGTCCCCACCTCTTTCTCTGCGTCCGCCACCTCCCCTTTGGTGGCTCTCCCCGCTCGCATCTCTGCGTCCCCACCCCTACTCCCAGCCCCTGGTGGATGCGGCTAGTCCACGCAGCGCCGGTCCTGGGGACCGGGAACCCGCAGGGAGCGTGAATCATCTGTGCGCTGTAGTGGGCTACTGGGCTAGGGACCCGAAGGGGTTGCAGGGTCTACCCCCTTCTGTCACTCGCTTCCGCCCCCAGCCCTCACCTCCCAATGATCTGTGGACCCACTGGAGGGTTCGCAAAGCTAAGGCAGCCCTAGAGACTCTAAAAAGACCACAGGGGTAAATCAAAGTGTAAATAGGGAAACAATCATCAACACACAAGATCAGGCTAGAGGGAAAACACGTGGGCTTGCTGGTTGCCCCTGATGGGATTCTTGTCTTTTTGTAATTGGAAGCCCAGTGATGCTCTTGGAGAGGCACGGAAGACCTGGAATCAGCCTCCCCATTTCTCTGGTCGGTAAGTGGGAGGAAGTCACTAATCATGTTTTCCCGCCTTACCTCTGAAACACAGAAACTTGCAACTTCGTTTTTTTCCAGATGGCTGGAAAAAAAAAAAAAAAAAAAATCCGCGTATTTTGGCTGTAGTCCAACAGATTTATCCCTGAGGCTCTGTCCTTGGTGGGAAGTCCAGGCAGGAGTGGGTGATATTTACCTTCCCAGGAGGAAGTAGCCTGCAGTAGGGCCCAAGACCCTGCAAAGGAGCCTGGAAGTACTTCATCCTTTCCACTTGTTTCTGGTGCTAAGGAGGATACAAATAACATTCTGTCACCCCACGCAACTGTACAGTGCATGTTGATTGCCTACTGCTCTGTACAACTTTCTCACAGCTATGTTGTTTCCTCTGCAATTGAGAGCCTGTCAGGTACAATCAGAGAGATCTGGAAGAAAATCTATGAAGAAAGTATAAGAAATGATAACATCATTGAGTGTCTATATGTGGCTTTTTAGGAACCTTTTACTAAGCATTGCTTTGTACTCCTTGCATCCTTTTTCTCTTAAACCATTGTTTTCTTTCTTCCCTTCATCATTTTTATAAGTTGCAAAAATCCGGCACTTTCCTTATCTCAAGATTGACATGGTGGAAACTGTGTAGGGAGAGAGGGCAGTATGAAAAAAGAATTCCTCTCCACTGGATTCAGAAGAAACTCCATATTTACAGGTCCTTTGAGGCATAAGATAAAATAAAAAATAGAAAATGTTTTCCCTCTCAATAAAGGTCTTTATAATAAAATTTAAATGTTTTGTGTTTTGTATTGTCAGTGTTCAAAATTCAGTTGTAGATGCTAAAATATGCTTATAGGTATTTCCACAATTAAAAAAAAAACTTTTGAATTTAATTTAAATACTTCCAAGCTTAAATTTCTATCATCAATTGAGCATTCATTATCAACGTATTACATCATCTCAAAATTCAATTCTGAAAACTTCCTTAGAATTGTAATTGATGTCTGTTTGAGGGCCCTATGAACATCAGGAAGATGAAAAGTTTCCTTATCAACATTTTGACACCTAGGGAAGACAATGATGTCTATACTTTGTTCCCTAGGCCTACTACTTTGCTCTGTCTTGAGGAGAAACCCAAATGCATGGGAACTGTGTGTCCCTCTACTTAATTTGGACCTGGTTTCTTCTGTGTGCAATCAGTAGAGTCAAAGTGGCATGTTTGTGCATGGTATGGTGTGAGGGGTGGGAATGTGAGCTTTTGATTAAAAAAGCTCTTGACTCCAATCACTCATACATGGAGAGTAGACCATGAAGGTCGACTTCATGGGTCGGGGGAGGGGGATACATGGGAATGAAAATGGAGTTAATGATCAATCATGCCTTCCTGATGAAGTCTCCATAAAAATCCCTGAAGTTCAAAATTCTGAAAGCTTCGGGGTTGGTTGACCACATGGAGATCATGGAGAGTGGCTCCCTTGGAGAGAGCATGGAAGCTCCATGCTTTTTCCCACATACCTTATTACCCTATGTTTCCCTTCCATCTGGATGTTCATCTGTATCCTTTATCATATACTTTTATAATAAATGGGTAAACAGTAAGTAAACTGTTTTCCCTGAGTCTTGTGAGCCACTCTACTAAAATCATCAAACCCAAGGAGGGGGTCATGGGAACTTCTGATTGATAGCTGATCGGTCAGAAGCACAGTTAAAACCCTGGGCTTTCAATTGGCATCTCAAGTGGTTTTCTTGTTCTTGGGGCAGTGCCAGCAGTCTTGTGGGGTTGAGCCCTTAGCCTATGGGATCTGATGCTATCTCTAGGGAGATACTGTCAGAACTGAGTTAGACTGTAGGACACCCAGCTGGTGTGACAGAATTGCTTGAGTTTTTCCCAGCTCAGGTGGGAATGTGAGCTCTTGGTTCAAAAAAAAAGCTGTTAACCTCAATCACTCATACATGAAGAGTAGACCGTAAAGATCATCTCAGTGTGATCTGAAAAAAATATTCTCTTTATGATGTTCCACCCAAGGCCCATCACATATGGAAGGGGAGCAGTTCTCCCAAGAAAAACTTGGGGGAAGTTGAATAGCTAAACCAATGAGTAAATCTTGTTAATTTGGGAGATAAAAATAGTAGAGAGGCATTATATTATTTTTCACTTTATAGGACGTTCAACTCTACATCATGGCTAAGTTTACTAATTTATTTGTCCATCCATTTGCTCATATATTACTCAACAAAGACATATAAGCAGAGTAAAGCTCTATGCTATATATTAGGCCTACATGTAAGAACAAATTACTTAAAACAGTTTCTGTTTTAGATGTGTTCTAGTCTTCTAGAGCAGTATTTCCAACTTTGGTCAGTGGAGTCACCCTAGACGCTTTGAAAAATACTCATGCCTGGGCTTCTCCCCCACAGATTCTGTTTCAATCCATTTAGGGTAGGATCTGGGCATAGGAGTTTTTAAAAGCTGTCCAGTGGCTTATCACTTTCAAGAAAGATTGAGAACCAGTGGTCTAGGAGGAAAGATAAACATGGGCACAAAGGGAATGTTAAAAGCACAAAATTTTCGTGTGAATGAATTTCCTGGCTGGGTTGTTATTTTGTGTTGGCTCTCACAAGGGGACATAGAGGGTCACCACTCCAGGTCCCCATCATCTGCACTGCCTTTACAGAGACTTGGTGTGGCAATTGACTCAGTTATTCTAACGAAACGGGAATGAATTGCCGTAGAGACCCAAATTACAATTTGGTCATCTAAACTAGGAACTCTCATTACCAAAATGTGTGTGTCCATGAACAAAACATCTCCTTAATAGTATTGATGTAAGAGAATTGATAGCTATCCTTTCTGAAATGCATACTATGTCCTGGACCTAGTCATAATTTCTTTACATTTCATTTCACTTTCTTGTTTAGTTTTACAAGTTACATTGGAAACTATAACCACTAATTACAAACCACACTTAGCATCTCATTTTGTTCCCTCAACACTACCCATCTTCATTTTAATTATAGTTTCATAATTGTTGTGTTTTCAAATTTGCGCTTGTTTCCATTGACCACATTTTATGTTTACCGATTCTTTGTACTGTGGACGTAAGTCCTAAACCTTGTAGTAATGTCTCCAAACTACACACAGAATGTTCTGCATTAGGGACAATATCCTCTACACAGTCAATCCTATCCATGACTTATAAGAGTCTTATAAAAATCATTCAACAACAACAACAAAATGGCACTTCTTGAGGGGTATTTTTGGTTAGCTTTTGGAGTTAATTTTCTTTAAGGGTTAATAGCCCTCTCTATATGGACAGTGGGGATGAAAGATCTTATAGAAGGATTTATTTTGAAATGCCAAATATTGAAAATCAAAGCATGCTGTATTTTATAACAAAATTAATATCAGTCCTTCACTGGCCTTCTCTTATTTAAGGGTGAGCTTTCCAGTAATAGCTGATACCTCAGTCTCTCTTGTAGAAGGAAACCTCATTCTTTTAAAATACCATACATTTGAACACCTCGTATGGGCCACGTTGTATTATAAGCCATCTTGTTATGCATGTGTTTACAGGTTTACCTTCCTAACAAGATTATGGTTGAAATAGGTATGTCTTTTTTTCCTTACTGCCTAATCAACGCTGAATCCTACCCATCTTCAAGGTTCTAGAAACATCATCAATGGTTTTGATAGGAACGTTTACATTTTCTCAATTTACCAGTTAGAATTTACTGTTGTCCAGAGGTTTGGTTTTTTTTTTAAATAGTTTTCTAAAGTAATTTAAATGTAAAATAGAATGATATGCAATCCATAATATAATGCAGTGGGAGAACAGAGAGTACTGAAGTTTATTTCCTGGGGAGACTAGTGAGAAATGACTAGATTGTAAGTCTTTCAACCAGAAAATAAAGGATTTCAGAACGATGAGGAAAGTTTGAAGGAAATGATATAGGGTCCACAGATACCTCACATGGTACTAAATGACTCATAAAATGCAGTATTTTTTACATAATATGGGAAGGGGGCCAAAGCCTGCACATCTTACCACTGAGTGTGGGACAGTACTGTAATCTTTAACAATATACAACATTTGTGGCATAATAGCCATAATGGGACTCTTCAGCTATTTTACACAGCAATAATCCAGTCCTCTCTCATCAGGATAGACTGTGAGGACAAATCCTTTCAAAAGCAGAATTAGTTCCTTGGAAAAGAGCGAGGCCACAATTATCCCTTAAGTAGGAGCAGCTGCAACAGGGGATTGGCCTGGAGCGTGGCCGTGAAGTGTTTCTCCCAAGCAATTAAAGGGATTTTTTTAATGCAAACTAATATTCTATAAAAAGTCACTCGGAAGGTGAGTAGGTGTGGAACTGCTGAGATGAAAGGAACAGTCCTTTCGCTGTACCTGAGTTAATATTCCGGCTCTAGTAAATGCTATTTTGGTGAAAATAGACAATCACAGCTCACCCGTTCCCATGAATTGGAGCCCGAAAAGGACCCAGAGTAATACAAAGGAAAGATAATTCTGGCTTACTTGTACACTCTGTCTTATCTTGAACTGTGTCCATAACTCTGTTTTGTTATTGTTGGTTTTCAAAAAGACATGATGAGTCAACAGGAACACTTCAATTTAAACTGGGAAGGTATCACTTGGGTGGAAACATAAATATAACCCACAGGACTGAGGCCAGTCAGTACCTCGTCTAGAGTGAGACGAAAAGGGATGAGAACTTAGTTTTTTACCACAGAGATGATTAAAGGATTGGGAAAATAAGATCTTTAAGAAAGATTAAAGGACCTGACTGGAGGGGGCATATTCAGAGGGGGCAATGTAATATCCTCAAATCATGTATCTCAAGAGTTCTTTGACAAACAATGAGAGAACACCTCCACTGAAGAAACAACGTAAGAAATTGGATGTCATACTAGAGCATTGAGGATTTAGTCACACAGGGAAAGAATTTTCCCCAGGGATCTTGAATGTATTGCCAAAGGAGAGTGTGGGCTCTCCATAGGACTGGGTGTAACATCTCTGCCCCCAATAAAAGTTTGTCAGGTCACATGACCCAAGCACCCAGGGACACCCCTCTTCTTGAAATACACCTTCCTTCTATATGATCAAGTGGGCAGAGGGTTCAAACTTAGCTCTAATTATCTAAAGGGTTTCTGTGCTCACAAATTTTGGATAGCATAAAATGAAGTTCATCCAGACAGGGACCCAAGACATCTCTTGCAGTTCTTTAGAGTCGAAAAATGCTTTCTTTTACATTAGATTTATCCCTGTATATTTTCAAGAACTTTGGTAACAAAGAAAAACACCTGATCTTGCTGGCAAAATTTAAGACATGTTATAAAACTAGGAATTAAAATGTTTAAATTAAATATTAAATATTGAAACTTGGAGTTAACTCAGAGTTAAACTATTGGATACATTTTTAGAATGTTACTTTCATAAAAGGATAATCTCACGTGGTAAGGATGGCCTTATAGGACCATCTTGGAGCCAAAGATGAAAGAAAAGGAATCCTCCCTGCTTTATAATAGTGTGTTTTAATGTGTAGCCTTCAATTCACTAATTCAAAAATCATACATTTCGAAGATACCAAGAGACTCTTCAGCTCCCACTCAGGCTGATGGTTGCTACTGACTCCCCACTCATCCCATGAAATCTTCCAGGGCTGATTAGGTAAGTGATTCTGTACCCTTGCCCTGCCCAGTTTCCAGTACAGTTCCTGATCTCTGCCCTGATTAGGTACTCACTATTTCCTTCCACTACAAATCCACTTATGCTTGACCTTCATGTAATGCAATTACTTGACTATCCATGGATTGCTTTAATGTTTCCATTTTGTTCCTAATGGTGCTCCAATATGTCTGTCTGTATGAATGTGTTTGATGCTGATGAGAAGTTCCTAGAAGGAAGAGATGAAATCTCTCTGAATAGGACTGATGGCCCCAAATATCATCAATTCCTTAAACAGTGCTCTTTGCAAGAAGACAACTTAACTTAGCTATTTCCCCTTTGTCTCCGAAGGAGTTAACTTAGGAAGCTACTGGAAAAAATTCAAGATATCATAATATGTAAACACTTCCACTCCACGGTGACAGGTTGGGAAGAGTTACAATAGTATTGCATTCTCTATGGTGCCTCAGCTGTATAATTAGGGTCTAATGCCATTTTTAATTAAGGACATCATCATTAAGGGCCCTCTATATGTTGGGTGTCTTACATAACAATATATGTTGGTGGTAGTTGCTCCTCTGCTCCCCACTCCCTTGGATGCTTTACTCATTTGTGTTTTCTGTGCAGCCTCTATAAGCATTTATAACCCCTAGAAGAGAAATGTACCAGAGAATGAATGGAGAGAATAGCATTTAATCGGAGGGAAGAGGATTAACAAAGTCAAAGAGGCTTTTAAAGACAAAGAAAAGTTTGGGAACAACCAGAACAAGAGAGATTGGTATTTGGGGCGGTTTTTGAGGTGCCAAGGTGGGGGTAGGGGAAGGACGGTGAGACAATGAGGAGACCCAGAGGGCGAGTTTAGATCACCGAAACTGTTTGTCTGAGAGCTGGAACTTTATCTTGAAGATATTGAGGCGTCTTGAAGGACTTGACCCCAATACCTTTGTATTGTAATATTTTATGGACAATGAGATTTTCATGTAGTGTTTCCATTACAGTAAGGTTTTCAGAAGTAACCAAAGGAGTTTGTTACCAAAGGAGAAACCAGTTCCTCCTTTTTCTGAGTTATTAATCTGCCATTTTAGTAGCTATAGTATATAAATATGCCCAGGAAAATATTAAGCTGGACAGTGTGATCCTCTGTGATCTACGTCTCTCTCCAGCCTCGTGTTTTCTCAACTTCAGAATACCTCACCTCTTTTCATACATTTGTCACTAGTATATCTTCTTTGATGGAGAGCCTGCTAAAAGCTTTTGCCTTTGTAAGATCAGGTTGTTTGTCCACTTATTGCTGAGTATATTCTGGATGTAAGTCCTTTATCAGAGTCTATAAAAAAAAGTAGTAAGTAAGTTTAGAAAGGTTGCAGGATACCAGATCAGTATGAATTAATTCTATTTCTTTATGCAAGCAACAAACAATTGGACATTTTTTTAAAAAGATTTTATTATTTGAGAGAGAGAGACAGAGCACGAATGTGGGAGGGGCAAAAGGAGAGGTACAGCAGACTCCCTGATGAGTGGGGAGCCCAACTCAGGGCTTAATCCCAGGAGCCTGAGATCATGACCTGAGCCAAAGTCAGACACTTAACTGACTGAGCCACCCAAGCACCCCAACAGTTGGGCGTTTTAAAAAATTATTTATAATAACATCAAAAATATGAAATTCTTAGGCATAAATCCCACAAAATATATAAAACCTGTGCACTAAAAATTCCAAAAACAATGCTGAGTGAAATTAAAGCAGACCTAAAGAAATGGAGAGCTATACCAAGTTCATTGTATGAAGGCTTTAATATAATTAAGATATCATCTGTTCAAAATAATCTATAGATTCAATGAAATCCCAATAAAAGTTTTAGGTTTTTTTTTTTTCATTGAAAATAAGAAGCTTACTTTAACATTTTTATGGAAATACAAAGGACCAAAACAATTTTGGAAAAGAATAAAGTTGGAAAAAATTCGTACAACTTGTTTTAAGACTTAGAGTAAAGCTACAATAATGAAGACCACATGATATTGGCATAAGGATAGGCATATAAATCAATTGAACAAAGGAGAAGTCTGAAATAGACCCATAAATACATAGTTAATTGATTTTCAACAAAAGTGACAAGGTAATTCAATGGGAAAATGATTGTTTTTCAACAAATTCTGTTGGAACAATTAGATACCCTAATGCAAAAATAAACTCTTACTTCACACCATATACAAAAGCTAACTCTAAACAGAGCATAGACTTAAATTTAAGAGCTAAAACTATAAAAATAATACAAGAAAATATAGAATAAAATCACGACTTGGATTACACAAAGCTTCTGTAGGACACAAAATGCAATTTGATAAATTGAATTGTAGAAAAATTAAAACTTTGCTTTTCAGAAGTCATTGTTAATGAAATGAAAATGTATTTCACACGCTGGGAGAAAATGACAAATTACTTGTAACGCTTATGTTTTTAATATTCCTCTGACTTTGCTCCTGCTGTTTCCTCTACCCAGCATCCCCTTCGCCTTGGTATCTATCTGCATGCAGAGGTTCTATTTCTCTTTTAGATTCAGATCAGGCATCGAATCGTTATTTTCTTCAGGACAGTCTTGCAGACTCTCCAACTGGCACATTCCAGACTGGTCAAAACATCTATCACACTCTACCTTCCTGGTCAATTTACATGTCTGTTTTCTATAATAAACAATTAGCTCCTTGAGGTCTAAGACAATATTTGTTATGCTTTGTTAGGTTCTTGGCCAACTTTTCCATGCCCTGAACCCCTTTCCCCCAACAAAATAAATTTTGACATTGCCCTCCCTCCAGATACAGCTCTATCACCTCTCACTCTATTATTACTAAACTTCTTAAAAGATTCCCGATCTCTTCTTCTTCACCCTCCCATTTATTCTTCAACCCACAGCAATCTGGATTTCTGTTTCTGAAATATTTTCTATTGAAACTGTCCTTTCTAAGACTCCCATTGAATGTATACCAGACGGTTTCACTGGGCACAGTTTATTTCTCACATTACTTGACTTTCTTGGAGCTTTATAAATTGGTTCCTTGTTAGACTGTGAAGTCTTTAAGTGAAGGGATCCTGCCTTATATTTGTCTTTGCAGATAGACAACTGGGGAGCTTCTACATGAAGAGAACAAAGAGGTAAAGAGAGCAGCATGACAAGAAACAGAAATAAGAGAAACCAAGGGAACATGGAATCCTAGATTCCAAGGAGGAATGTTCTCCAGGAGGGAATGGTAGACATTCACCTGTTTTCTCATTCAATCAATCATCCACACAACAAATACCACACTTGAGAGTGCTTACTCATTGCCAGACACGGTGCTGGGTTCCAAGTCCACAAAAGCTTTTCTATACCCTCTCCTGGATGATTATCTCCTTCCATAACTCCAACTACAACTTATTTTCTAATCCCTGTCAAATCTATGTCCCTTTTCTATTTTCTGACACCCAGGTGCCTATTTCTAACCGTCTACCAGCTATATCTGGCTGTATTTCTCCAGTCTACTGGCCCTCATAATATACACATTAATCTCGGGGCACCCAGGTGACTGGGTCAGTTAAGTGTCTGCCTGCAGCTCAGATCATGATCCTAGGGTCCTAGGATTGAGCTCCGAGTCAGAGTCCGGCTCCCTGCTCCCCAGCTCCCTCTGCCCCTCCCCCCCACTCATGCTCTCCCTCTCAAATAAATAAATAAAATCGTAAATAAGTACACACATAAATTTTGATAAATGCAATACACATATAAATAATTTTCTCCTGGAATGCATATCTCATTTAATGGTTACACTCAATCCCATAGTTAACAATAGGTCTCATCCTTTGTCATTTCTTACCTGGACTATTGCTTTTACCAAGTCTGTTACCGATTCTCCTTACCTACAACTCAGCATCTACACACCCACCATGACTGTCAACCTAGCAGATACTTGGGAGCACACCATTGCCCCACTTAAATGCCTCCAAGAGCCTTTCTGTTACCCAAACACATCAAACCATTTGCTCTCCAGCAATTAGCTGCTTGTGCTTGTCTTAATTTCAAGCATTAGCACCTACTGTTCCCTCAGTCTAGAAAGAACATGCTCACTACCACATATTCACATGATAGCTCCTATTACCTTCAAGACTCAAATCAAATATCCCTTCAGTCAAGCTGGGCTAAGCCCTCCTCCTCCACCAAGGCACATTGTGTAGCCCTTCATTACTGTGCTGTAATGATGATTTGTTCATAAGCTCTTCTCCCATTCTAGATTATATCTCAATCACCCTTGTACTTCTAACATCTGCTTTAAAGACAAGCACAAAAAGCTCGTTTTGAAAGGGCAAGTTTTTTTCTGATTTTGATGTAACCAGCTTCTATTAGGTGTTATTTGGGAATAGTGTCATATATTTTATAGTGAATACAGTAGTTTAAAAAAAGATTCAGCCACTTCCTTAAGCAGTGGTTTATCTCTCCCTCAGAGAAAACCAGAATGAGTTTTTTAATAAAATGATTGAAAAGGTACACTGAATCTTCAATTTAATTATTTCAATTCCTGCAAAAAAAAGGTCTTTCAGAGAGGCTGCCTCTTGGTAAAATGTGATAAAGTTCCAACACATTCTTAAAAATTGTAAATTAATTTATAAATTTCCATTCAAAGTTTAATCTGCTATTTTCCACATAAAAAAAACTCATAATGTTGCTTCCTATTGATTCAGTATCTTTGCATCTAGAGTTTAAGCCAATATTTCATCTCTTTCTAGAAGCTTCCAGAGGCACTTGGTGCATATCAGTGAATGTTGTCCATTTTTATTGCTTTTGGAGTTAAGTAAGGACTCTGCACCCAGCATTCCAGATCTTTAATATATTAAATTGTAGTCTTAATTCTCTCAGTGTCTGTGTATCTACCAGAGCAGATCAGTTCATATTCTTTCAGCATGCCCTGTCTTTTTCTAGCTTCTACAAGGCCCAGCCCTGCCTTCCACTTCCTCCTGCCACCATCACTACCCTCCTTTCTTCCTGAAACTCCTCCTGGTCCTTCCTCCCCGATCTGGGCTTTCCCCATTCTCCTTCCCTGAACAATTATTAGTGATTCTTTCATTCTTTCATGGGACTTCTTGCATTTCACCTTGTGCTACGATTGTGTGTATGTGTGTGTGTGTGTGTGTGTGTATGTGATCCTATTATTCTCTCTTCTCAACAAGCTGTTGGGGCAGTCCTCCCATGTCCTGTTCATTTCTGAGGCTCTGCAATGCCAAGCACAATTTCTGAAACATAACAAGTACTTGGTAATTATTTGTTTAGTTGAATTGAGTTCAAATAAATTTAAACAGCTTTCTCTTCACTGTGTGTTGACAAAATAATTCTAACAAGTTCATAATCACAGGAAGCGGTAGAGCCAGGATTTGAACACAGCAGTTTACAGCACTTTAAATCCCAGGACTTTGTTGCCTCTCCAATAAACAGAATATGCACTGCAAGGTTATTGGTCCAGCTATATAGTTTAGCTCTAACCACTAAAACCTAAAAATTGTCCTAATAAGACTGAATGTTTCCTGCTTAACAGTGTGTGAAAAAAAAAAAAAGATTTTATTCTTTCTGTGACATTAGTTTCAAAGAGTGGGAGCATATGCCTTTTAAAGAGTATTCCTTTAATACATTTATTATGACCTCATCATCTGTTGTCTATCTGAATTTTTTTTCAGGATCTATAAGATACGAATGTAGAGACACAGAGAGGTAATGACATTTACTGTATACTATTGGATAGAGCATCCCTGACTTGAAGACCTAGACTCCTGAGCACTCATCAATAGCACCAAGGTGGCAAAGGTGGGTTTAAAGCCAAGGATGTGGGGTTTGTAATAGACCTGGCTTAGAACTCAGTGGTTTATTCTGGATCTTTGGGCTTCAAGAAATTGGAAGAAGTAAGGGAGCTGCAAAACATCTTTTTCATCTCAGTGTTGGGAATTGAAAATCCAAAAAGGGAGTCTGAACACTAACACTAACTTAATCTGTCCCCACATAAAGTAACTGCTTGTTCTAATTGAAAGCACTGTTGTATTCAATTTTAGAACCCGAGGAAGAACTGGCTGAAGCAATGAGATGGCACTGAATGTCCTTCTGCATTTGGGGATACATTTGAGTTCTTTTTCTTTCATGGCTGGGCTCTTTCTGGGGAACAGGAGTGGGAGAAAGTCTCTTTCTGCAATGTCCTTTAACAGCTGTGTCAAAATTCTCCTGAGCTGCCTGCAATTCTTCCATCTTTGCAGTTGAGTTGACTCTTCCCATGTGAGTTTCAAAGCCATGGGCAGTTCCCCACCATCTTCTTGGCTGAAACCTCCTTGTCACTGCAGCAACCCCTCTGTTAAGAATATCTCAAATAGGTATTCTACTTCACAGGCAGTGTAAAATTTCCTTTCTAAAATACTTTCTAAAATATTTTGAGAATGTGAGGTTCTGGCAGGATATAGAGGCTACAAATCAGATTAAATAATTCCCACTGCCAAGTGATCAGACAGAAAAAGAATTGTACAGAAAGGAAAACTCCCAACCTCGTTGGCCGTTGCCTTTGTTGGCTGCCTTCTGAGGGGTCCAGTTCCAATGGTCATAAAGTGCTAGCTCCGTGGCTATTTGGAGGGATGTTGGCCTCCCGCTCCAGGCCAAGAAAGATCACACCAACACAACTTCAGCAAGTAAGTGTGCCCTTATATTTGGTCTATGGGCACCGAAGAATATGTAGATCTAAGGTTTCATTTATCTGGATAATTAAATAAGCCTGGAAGAATATATTAAAGAAAATTTCTTTTTACCCCCTCTTTTTTAGATGACACTATTTGGCTTTGCTCTCCTTACCTTGAAACTACCCCAATGCAAGCAACAATTTCTGCCAAGGAAGTAGAAAAAAAATGCTTCTATACTCTTGGCTAGTGTGTGCTTGCTGGTGGGGGAGACCACAGTGTGGGGATTACAAACCCTTGTTCTGGGATCTGCCATCTTGGGTCTACATACAAGTTGTGCTATCTGCCAGACTTTGGGGAGTGGATCCATTTTTTTTTTTTTTTAAGATTTTATTTATTTATTTGACACAGAGAGAGAGACAATGAGAGAGGGAACACAACAGGGGGAGTGGGAGAGGGAGAGGCAGGCTTCCCGCAGAGCAGGGAGCCCGATGCGGGGCTCGATCCCAGGACGCTGGTATCATGACCTGAGCCGAAAGCAGATGCTTAACAACTGAGCCATCCAGGCGCCCCTGGATCCATATTTTGATGCTCAGTTTCCCTATCTGTATGACAAGGATGCTAATAAGAAGACAAAATATGCTTTCTGGTAGGCAGATTGACAAAGACTGTAAGATAATACTTCTCGTATGTACGCGTCCTTAGCATAGGCATGGGTTTAAATTCCTTATATGTATTATCCCACTTGATTTCTTACCCCATTAGGCAGGCTCTATTATTAATCCCAGTTCATCAGAGAGGAACTTGGGACACAGAAAGGTAAAGGCACCACGTAGGGAAGTCCCAAAGTAAGAAAGTGCTAGCCAGGATTCCAGCTCAGGCACAGCGCCTCTGCACATGCATGCACCCTCCTTTACTCTGCGAACCGCTTTCTCATAGGCATGGCCAAATGTGACTCAGGGTGCCTCCAGAGCACACGGACATGTGTCCACTTAATACACTGAGTGCTCCTGAGCTGTACCAACAAGGCCCAGGGAGTCGTTCAGAATTGGTTAGAGACCCAAGTTCATCACTTGCGTGGGGTGGAGGTGGAGCTCTGATGTCCTCCACCCCGCCACCACCACCTTGCTGAGCCTGCTCTTTTCTGACCTTTCCCTAGAAACCTAAAGGGCAGATCCATTCTCTTTCCCGCTTTTTCTTGCCTACTATTTCCACACCTCACCCCTCCCTACCTTGCTACTCTTAAACATCATCAACCAAACAAATAAAGGAATACTCTTGAGGCTGCTATTTCAGACTCTGTGGGCAGGAGCCTTTAATAAACAGGTCTTGGGTACTAGTTAGACATGCTCTTTTGGCTCACCTCGTGTTTCAAGATGCTCCATGAATGCTCTCTTTGTAAAGTCTTTCTTCACCTTCTTGCTCCAGCTTGAGTGTTTGTTCTTTCATGATGTCTTGCATAGGCTGCTATGTATTCTGCATATTTATGTACCTGCCTCAACTAACTGAGAGACTATAATCCTCCTGAGGACAGAGATTCTGACTTGCTTATCATGCTATATCCCGCAACAACTAGCATAGTGTCTAACGAATAGAAGCTCATGAAGAAATAGAAAAATGTAAAGCCTCTATAAATCAAAGCGTTCCCATAACCCAAGTCAAAATACCAATGGCAGATCCGGAGAAAAATCTTCACATTTTATGCAACAAAGTGTTGCTATCCATAACATACAGATGTCTTCGCATTAGAAATAAAGGGAACAAAATGATCTTGAAAATAGATAAATGGCACAAATAGTGAATTTACAGAAGCAAATAGTAACATGTGAAAAAAAATTCTAATTCTCACTAGAAACTGAGAAAATGTAAATGAAAATCACTGCTTTTTAAAAAAAATATAGGCAAAAACTTAAAAAGATTTATTTGCAGCCAAAAAAAAAAGTGGGGTGGGGGGGAGGTTTATGTACAAAGGGGAATGTGAAGGAGTTTGAAAGCATATAATTTATGTGCAGTTATATCGGGTGTATTTGTCTCCTAGGGCTGCCATAACAAAGTACCACAGCCTGGATGGCTTAAACAGCAGTTTATTTTCTCCCAATTCTGGAGACTAGAAATCTGAAATCAAGGTGTCAGCAGGATTGGCTTCTTCTTCGGCCTCCCTCCTTGGCTCATAAATGCCTCTTTCTTCCTGTGTCTGCAGGTGGCCTTCCCTCTATACATGTCTTTGTCCTAATTTCCCCTTCTTATAAGGGCACCAATCATATTGCATTAGGGCCCACCCTAATGACCTCATTTTACCTTAATTACCCCTTTAAGGGCTCTATCTCCAAAAATAGTCACATTTTGAGATGCTTTAAAATTTCAACATGAAAAATGTTAAATTTGGGGGGGGACACAGTTCAGCCCCTATCATGTAGATATGTAACAGATATAAACAGATAGATACTTGATAAATAGATGCGTGTTTCAGAAACAAACTAGAATAAACTCTAAAATGCTAACAGTGTTTACCTGTAGGGTTGGGATGGGATGGATAAGGAGCATTTGCTTCTTTTTATGATTTTAAAAGTTCTGGCATTATGCAAGATTTGTTCCTTTTTGAGTTTTTCAGGATTTTTGAATAATAACAATAATAGTAATATTATAATAATAATAAAATAATAGAAATATCACATACAGAAAATATATCATCAGAGACACAAGCTGACCAGATGTTCATCGGTACTGTTCCTAGCCCTGAGCACATAAGAAAACTACATTTCCCGGCTTCCCTTGTACTTAGATTGAGGCTATGAGACTGAGTTTTGGCCAAAGAATTATCAGTGAAAGAAAATAAGAAACTCCAAGCCTTGGCCTTAATTTATTTCCTTATCTCTTTATCCTAACACTCTCTCTTCTTGGCATCTTGTTGAATGCAGAGGATCTGGTGAAGGAATTCAAAGGCCACTCTCTGAGGTGGCAGAGGCACGTGGTGGAAGGAAGGAGCTGAGGTTCCTTAGTAACCCTGTGGTAGAGAGCTATTCAAGATGGCTGCCTGACCCATATCTGGCTTTCTGTGTGTTAAGTGGCCGTACTTTGGGGTTCTTTTTTCCAACAACTGGCATTAATTACTTTGACACATATATTACGAAAACAAGTCCTTTTCTGTAAAGTAAATGTATTCCAGTAAAATAAAAGATATATCCACCCTTTGAACCAGAAATCACTCTAATAGGAAACAAACTTTTATTACTAGAATCCTGAGTATACAAAGATGCGCTTGTAGAGATATGCTTGCGATAGGAAAAAAAGTCAAGTATATTTTCACCCATAGGGAAATGCTTAAATGAGGATACACTGATTTATTAAACCTTATAGAGACATTAAAGGACGGATCTAACTAGATATATATTGACCCAGAAGATGCTTATCAATAACGTTATTTACATAACAGACTTGGAGGTAAATATAGCATGATTTGTTATTATTAAAATTACATTGTAGGATGTGATAAACTTAAGGAAAAATTGGGGGGAATAATGTATGCAACTTTATTGTAGACAATTGTTATCTTTTTAGTAGATGAATTTCAAAAATAGCTCAAATTCTTCTCTTTTCTTTTATCCATACTCTTTGAAACACAACTTTGCAGGTTTTCCCATGAGGAGGTGCCGTCCATTTCCCTATTCCTTAAGTCTGAATTAATACTGGAATTTGCTTTGGACACTAGAAAATGGAAGAGACTATATTATGCTGGTTTGAGAGGCCTTGCACACACCTATTCTTTTGTTTTGTTTTTAGCTGTGCTTCCACCATTAAAGCAAGCTCAAGCTAGCATACTGAAGAGACCTGCCAAGATCAGCAAAGCTGACTACAGATGGACAAGCGAACCCAGCTGAGAACAGAGCATTGCCTGGCCACCCTGTGGATTCTTCCCTCTTTTTTCTTTCTCTCCCTTCCTCCCTTTCTTCTTTCTTTTTTTTCTCTTTTTCTTTTTAAAAAATATTTATTTATTTATTTATTTGAGAGAGAGAGAGAGAAAACGTAAGGGGGGGAGGGGCAGAGGGAGAGGGAGAGGAAGAATCTTAAGCAGGCTCCACACCCAGCGCAGAGCCTGACATGGGGCTTGAGATCATGACCTAAGCTGAAATCAAGAGTCGGACGCTTATCCGACTGAGCCACCCAGGTGCCCCTCTCTCCCTTTTTCAATAAAGATACAGTTTTCTTTAATATTGCCTAAATGATGTACTCAATAGCCCATCACATCTACCAGGATTAGGCCTGTAGCAATGGAGATTAGGCAAAGCATTTCTTAGTTCTGGCAACCTACAATGCAAACAGACCCTTCATGAAGCCAGTGCACCCAGAAAATAGTGTAAAAATTTTCATAATAAAACAAAAATTAGTCTCTCAATAAAGGAGCTGCTTGATACACAATCTACTATTTTCCTGCATTAGATTTTACCTAGTTGTATTATTTAAAACAGAAATATATATATTTCTCTTTTGTCCTCTGGTGTAAATGAGATGCATGCACATGTTTTTATTCTTGCCTGCAGCATTCATGGTCAACCGACCCTCTGTCTCTGGATATCAAGGGAATGAAGAGATGTAAAGCTTTTTATCTGGGATTTAAAGGAACATTCTGGTGAGGATATCACAAACTTTCATCGAGGTGGCCATATTTTCACATGAGAGGCCTTCACTAAGAAATTGTTATGGATAATAATGCAATGAAAAGGCAAGTGACTGTTCCAAGGGATATTTCACATGGAAAGAATATTTTTAGAAGGAAAGAGTTAATTTCCTAAGAATGTGATTTATAAAACTAAGAGAAAAGCCAATGGTTTTACTATCATTGTATTAAATTGTAATAGTTTGTTAAATAATATCTCGGAATTCCTTTAGGTGACAATTAGCAGATCCCTTCCTGGAGATCATGGAAACAAGCAGTGGGTTTGAGCAAGATGTTGGTATAGAAAATAGATGTGTTGGATGGATCCAAAATACCCCTGGGGTAGAAGAACAATATTAGCTGTAAAATAGCCAAATTAAAAATCATTTAAAGTCACATTTCAATATGGTATTTTCCTTTTCAATAGAAATCATGAAATTATATTAAGCCTCATTTTGATTATTCAAAACAGTGAAATAAGGATCTTTGCTTTTGGACAGCCGTGGGTTTGCTGAGCAGAAGCCTTCATTTGCCGCTACATTTCCTTGCATCATTACATAATTGTTCCCTTGTATGCCAGTTATTCCTTGGATATTGAAGTATGCTGGGCTGGTGAGCTAATCCTTAGTTATAACACAGCGTTATGCTTAGAGGAAGATGCACAAATATTTTGAGTGAAGAACAAAGCTTCAAACGGGATAATTAAAATCACCTGATACTCTTACAAGGGAATTGGTTAAACATATAGTGCATTCGGTTAATGTCTAATCTCACGAGTAATCAGGAAATGCACATTAAATCACCGAAGAGACAGCACTTTTCACCTATCACACACTGCAGTGAATTGTAAATTGCTACAACCTTTCTAGAAAGCAATTTGGCAAAATCCATCAAGAGCCCTAAAAGAGTTCATACCCTTTGTCAGGATAATAACCCATCCAAGAATCTATTCTAAGGAAATAATCAAGGATACAAAGATTTTTATACAAGGACATGATTTGTGGCTCTGTTTATAGCTGTAAAAATATTAAGATTTCTGGAATCTTAATGTCTGAAAATAGAAATTAGCTAAATTATCTACATTTCTATGATTAAATGCTGTGGTGCCAATATAATCACATGCTTGCGGAACACACAATGAATGACATGCAAAAAGGTTCAATAAGTCTTATATTGTGTGTGTGTGTGTATGTGTGCATGCATGTGTGTTAGAAAGAGAGAGAGAGGTAGGGAAGGGAGGGAGGAAGGAAGTAGGGAAGGAAGAGAGAGCGTAATGTTTAGAAAACTTCTGGTATAACTAAAAAAAAGTGGATCTGTATAATATACACGAGCAAAAATATTTTTGTAAGGGTGTTAATTTTTTTAAAAGATTTATTATTTATTTTAGAGAGAGAGAGTGGGAGGAGGGGCAGAGGAGCAGGGAGAGAGAGAAGCCAAGCAGACTCCCCACAGAGTGTGATCCCATGACCCATGAGATCATGACCTGAGCTGAAACCAAGAGTCTGATGCTTAACCGACTGAGCCACCCAGGCACCCCATGAACAAAAATATTTTTAATGCATGTGGAGCAAGAATTAAGTTTTGCTATACTGGAATTAAAATTAAAAGATGATAAAATTACAGAAAAAATTAAATTTTGCAGAAAGGATAAGAAAGGGAGAAAATATGTAGTAAGTAAGCACAAGCATTAATGTTCCGTTTGGGAGTAGCTTTGAATGGATTGGTAAGTCCTGTGTGTAGGGGGTAGGAAATAAACCACAGGACTGAACAGGGCTAAAAGTCAAGTTGGAGAAATTCACCTACAAAGAATTGCTAACAGGCTCTCCAGCCTCCCAACCCCATCATAGATAGCAAACACACTCCCTAGAGAGATGGTGGGTGTATGTGTCTTATCTTTGACTCTGAGTAAAGGAGAAAAAGAATGAGAAAAAAAAAAACAAACAACTTCTTAGAGAGAGGGTGTAAACTGTGCTTTACACTTACTTGGGGTGAGGCCTGATTTTACATTGTAAGCTGGGTGTCCAAACTCTCAAGACAGAAACTTAGTTGAAGTGTAATATGTTGGTAATGACCTCAGAGCTCTATGGTTTTTTTGGCTTTCTCTTCATCCTACTGGTGAGGGAGGGTTTCCTGCCCTAGGAATATGAGGATGGTCCAACACAGGGCACTCAACACTGGACAGGGAAGAGGGACAGCAATTTATTAATCATATATACTCATGGCCTGGTGGAAGAGGATAGTTCATACAGGATCACACTGTTGCACTTGCAAACAGAATGAAAAGCAAGGGCTATGAGAATCAATCTCTTTAGTATTAAGAGGTTAGGGTGACTCCTGATTCCTGTGGGAGGAAGTGATTGGCTTGTTTGCATAATTATGTAGCCTGGCAGGAAACTAAAACTTACTATTTAGGGATAAGCAGGCACTTTGCATTGTCTCCATGATAAGTAGGGTTGTTTGGCTAGGGGACCTTATCCAAAGGAGTAGAAGAAGGAAGAAAAGTTGTGCTTAGGCCATTTGAGGCCCTCCAGTTTTCAGATGCCGAGGCATCATATAATAATGAATCTTAATCTCAGGCCTTAACCAAACCCAGTGGATGCAAAAGCAAATCCTCTCTGGAGAAATGCAGTTAATTAATCACAGGGAATTCCCTTGTCATTCTAGGGGAAGAATTCTAGGAAGTATCTCTGGACATAGGAGAAACCAAGCTATCTGAATGAAAATTATACTAAACAAAAAACTAAAGAATCAGATATTTGATCACCAGATGTTAGAATTATCTGATAAAAAATAAAGCAATATGTTTAACATGTCTTTTAAAAAAAGGTAGTATAAAAGTGTGACTAAAAAAAAGAGACTCCAAAATCCTAGAGATTAGATAAGTAAAATAATACTCTAGAAATGAAATTAGAAACTGAAAGAACTGATCAAAGGGTAAATTAGAAATAGTTGTAGAAAGAATTAGCAAACTGGAAAAACTATCTGAAAAATAAGACATTAAGAGACTTGTATGATAGAACGAAACACTCCAATAAAGTCCAGTCAATGTTGCAAGATATAACAGAAAGAATGAGGAAGCAGGAATTTTTAAATGTATAAATGTTGAAAGATAATGAATCTTAGAATCAGGAAGTTCAATGAGTCACAAGCAAGAAAAAAAAAAAGATTAAAACAAACAAAGAAAAAGTGTTCAACACAAGCCAGACAGAAATCTAAACAATTTATATATCAACTGTTTATCCTTACAACATGTGAGCTAATTGAGAAACAGAAAACTTAAATAATATGCCCAATTTTTCATAATTGGGGAATTATAGGAGCAATTTGGGTCCTGAGTTCATGCTCTTGCCACTATACGTAATGCCTCTTAAAGAGATGCCCAGGTAAGTACATCATAATGACATGACAAAACACCAAAAGCAATGAGGTCTTAAAAACAATCAGAGGAAAAAGCCAGATAACTTACAAAGGAGTCAATTAAACAGATAAATGGCTTCCTTCTCAACTCAAAAGACATAGAGTAGCTGACTGGATAAAAAACAAGATCCATCTATATACTGTCTATAAGAGACACACTTTAGATGTTAGGTTGCACATAGACTAAAAGTGAAAGGATGGAAAAAGATATTCCATGCAAGTGGAAACCAAAAGAAAGCTGGAGTAGTTATCCCCTTCAGACAAAATAGATTTTATTTTATTTTTTTATTAACATAATGTATTATTTGTTTCAGGGTTACAGGTCTGTGATTCATCAGTCTTTTTTTTTTAAGATTTTATTTATTTATTTGACAGAGAAGGACACAGTGAGAGAGGGAACACAAGCAGGGGGAGAGGGAGAGGGAGAAGCAGGCTCCCCGCTGAGCAGGGAGCCTGATGCAGGGCTCGATCCTAGGACCTGGAGATCATGACCTGAGCTGAAGGCAGACGCTTAACGACTGAACCACCCAGGCACCCATGTGATTCATCAGTCTTACACAATTCACAGCACTCACCATAGCACATACCCTCCCCAATGTCCATCACCCAACCACCCCATCACTCCCACGGCCCTCCACTCCGGCAACCCTCAGTTTGTTTCCTGTGATTACTCCAGTTTCATCTTGTTTCCTTTTTTCCTCTCTTCCCCTATGATCCTGGTTTGTTTCTTAAATTCCACATATGAGTGAGATGATATGATAATTGTCTTTCTCTGATTGACTTATTTCACTTAGCATAATACCCTCTAGTTCTATCCACGTTGTTGCAAATGGCAGGATTTCTTTTTTTTGATGGCTACATAATATTCCATTGTATATTTTGTGTGTGTGTGTGCATGCATGTGTGTTAGAGCAAATATGGTAGGAAATTTCATTCATCTGTTGATGGACATCTAGGCTCTTTCCATAGTTTAGCTATTGTGGACATTGCTGCTATAAACATTGGGGTGCACATACCCCTTCGGATCACTACATTTGTATCTTTGGGGTAAATACCCAGTAGTGCAATTGCTGGGTCATAGGGAAGCTCTACTTTCAACTTACACATAGATTTTAAAGCAAAGACTGTAATAAGGAACAAAGAAGAGTATTAAATAATGATAAGGGGGCCAATCCAATAAGAGGATGTGATATCTGTAAATGTTTATGTGCCCAACATAAGAGCACCTAAAATAAAGCAAATATTCATAGATCCAAAGGGAGAAATAGACAGCAATATAATAGTAGCAGATGACTTTCATACCCCACTTACATCAATAGAGAGAATATCCAGATAAAAAAAATCAATATGAAAACACTGGACTTAAATGACACATTAGAACAGATGGACTTAACAGATACATACAGGACATTTTGTCCAAAAAGAGCAAAATACACATTCTTCACACATACGTGTGGAACATTCTCCAGGAAAGATAATGTTAGTCCACAAAACAAGTCTCAATAAATTTAAGAAGATTGAAATCATATCAAGAATCTTTTCCAACCAAAGGGTATGAGACTAGAAGGAAGAAAGCTAGAAAATTCACAAATATGTGGAAATTAAATAACTTGTTACTGAACACCCAATGGATCAAAGAAGAAGTCAAAAGATAAGTCAAAAAACACCTTGAGTCAAACGAAAATGAAAATGTAACATACCCAAATTTATGAGATACAGCAAAACAGTTATCAGAGGGAAATTTGTAGTGATAAATGCCTATCTCAAAAAAACAAAACAAAAAACAAGCAACCAAACAAAAACTAAGAGCAATTTCAAAGAAAAAAAAACTGAACTTTACACCTCAAGGAACTGCAATAAGAAAAATAAAGCCCAAATTTGGTATACGAAAGGAAATAACAGGGATACCTGGGTGGCTCAGTTGGTTAGGTGGCTGCCTTCGGCTCGGGTCATGATCCTGGAGTCCCGGGATTG